TTTTTTTTTTTTTTTTTACCATAGTACCAATGTTGAAGTTCACTGTTAGTTTTTTGATTAATTGTTGTCCCACATCGGATGTATACCAAAGATGTGTAGGATCTTATTAGTATAAATAGGTCCCTTGCCTTTGGGTTACAATTGCACCTTATTCTATTCTCTCCTATTTAGAAGGAAATCCTTAATTAAGGAAATCCTATTTTGTGGGTTATTTAACCCTAGTTGTATTTTGTTGGTGAGTTTAGTAAATTTGGCGTTGCGGTTGGCGGTGCCCGGAGACGTAGGCTATTTTCGCCGAACTCCGTTATCAATTTTTGTGTTCTTTTTATTTCTCGTCTTTTATTTGTGTTGGCTTATTTTGGAGTAGTACTTGCCATATTTGTTGGAGGGGTATTTTTGTCCGCTGTGCTTGTTGTGATACCCCAACATTCACTAGCTAGGATCAGTGTTTTAAATACCGTACCGATAGTCATACCGGTCTAGCCACCGGTACGCGGTATTACCGGTCGGACCGGTAATATCGGTGGTATTACAGGATTAGCAAATATAATAATAAATATAAATATACATACAAATATTTAATATCAAATGCACTAAAGTAAAAAAATAAATGACCATAATCATTAATTTTAACTTTTCAATAAGATAAAATATTTTAACTACCAATTTAAATTTTATTTTTTAAAAATTAAAAAATTTTATTCTTTTTTTATTTTTTTTAATTAACCGGTATTTTGGACCGGTATTTTTCGGTTTTTACGGTATGATCCCGGTACAAACAACTATAACCGTAAATCCGATATTTTGAGTGTATTTATACCGTACCAATGGCCGGTATCCGATATTACCGGTATTACCGGCCGGTACGATACGGTATTTAAAACATGGACTAGGACTAGCCCTCTTGTGGTTAGTACCAACTTTGTCAACGAACATAAATTTCTTTCATTTTGGTTCATGTTTATGAGATCGATATCTACTAATGTATCAAAAATATCGACTCACCAAGATTTTTGGTTTAACCGCCTCATCAACTGCTTCAACTTGCGAATCGGATCAATCTGAAAAAGCGACGGCGGCGGAGCCCCGACACTACGGCGTTCAAGTCAAAAAAACCTATATTTCAAGCATATTGTAATTGAGAATCTTATTTAGAGCTTAGGTTAGGAATTAAACCTAGATCCTTTATTTATAAGAATTTAATGAATTACTTCCCAAACCAATGGGTTTCCTTAATAATCAAGGAGTCTGATCCTCTAAAATTATTGTGTAGATGTACACAAACTTACTTGGATATCTCTTAGCAATGTTTCCTAAATCTTCATAGGAATTAAAGTAATATTGTATATTTTGAAATTGTAGTGCTCAAGTTAAAGCTCTCTTGGACTAATAGTACCCAAGTTAACCGCTCAGGCCGGCCCACCAAGCTATTCGAAGTGCCACATCATCTAGCTAGTCTAGCGTGGGTGGGGTGGGGGAGGGGGGAGCTACATAATGTGGCACCCTACCCATTTCAGAAAAAAAAAAAAAAAAAAAAAAAAAAAAAAAACAACAATCACCATCCTCCTACAAGATTCAGTGGAAAAGGGAACTAAGTTTTGCGAGATCAATTTCAGAAATTATGGTTCAACAAATTTGCACAAATTCAGAATTAGGTTAACCCTAATTAATCACTTACCCATTATTTTTGCGCAACAAATGTATCTCCTTCCTGGATTATGAATAGTTCACGATCTATTTGTAACAACATTGATGCCACAATTGTAGAATTGAGCCATCATCTCCAAACTATATCTCCAAGATTTTCGCGAGAGTTAATTATTTTGTTCGCGGGAGCAAGATGATTTCCATTTAAGAGAATTTGTAAACTTTGGGAAAGAAAAATTTATCCTGCAAACATCAGAGAAAAATACCCTCAAGTTTTGAGCGTGTAAGTCACACACTCGCTTTTCCGGTGGATTATAGACTCTGATGGTCGTTAGGTTGCGATATAGACAAACTGTGTATTATAGGTTGCAAATCAAAAAAAAAAAAATTAAAAAAAGAAAAACTTTAGGTTGCAATCGCCAAAACACGTATAGTACAGGTTGCAAAAAATTATTTACCCTATATTGATATATAAGCGATCGTGGTACCAGTACATACTTCGTGGATGTTGAGTAGTACTTATGTAAACTTTGAAGAATGTTAAATCTTGTATTCAATGTTATTTTGTTTTCCCGAAATAACTCATACTTTAATTTGATTGAGAAAATCAAAGTGAGTAATCTAGTATCAATGTATCAGTGACTATTCTAACTTATACTTTAGTTTGATTGAGAAAGTCAATTTGAGTATTCAAGTATCAGTGACCAATAGTCATGAAGTTACCATGAAATTTTGAACCTTTTTTTTTTTCTTATAGAAGTGCCCTCGTTGAGGGCACGGCCCCTCCCATGCCCTTTCATAGAGGGGACGCTCTCCCACCGTTGTATTGTATAACACCTCCATAAAGGCTTGCCGAGCCCAAAGTTAAAACCCCACCTTTGTGGCCCACCATAATTAATATCTACTTGTCAAAGCCCATTACCACCTGCACATGCAACAATTTCATTGGGCCACTGACAACTGACCAACATGAGAATACCATAACAACAAAACCTTTAAATGAGTAAGAAATACCACTTAAAAGTATCTTTAAAAAAAAAAAAACTCAAAAATTAGAGAGACGGTGATTTGATTGATCAATAGATATTTTAGTTCTCATCAAATAAAGTGGAGTATAAGAGCATCTTCAATGTGGAAACATCCACCCTTAAAAATAGTGGCCACATGGCATAAAATGAATGGCACTGTCAATATGAAGTTATTTGGAAAGAGACTAAAATTTTTTGTAACTTCCAGTTCGCTATTTTTTCACATTTATTTTTGACTTAAACTGTCCAATACACTGTTTGAAAGCAAACAGTAGGCTTGACTACTGTTATGCCACATCAAAAAAAACTGCCTCATGACTGTGTGCATTGTAAATGAAAATATGAAGACATTGTGACATGGCATAGATTTTTTTTCCTTTGACAGCCTACACTGGAGATGCTCTAATAAGTAATTTTGCTTATATGATGTGC